AAAATAAAAAAAAATAAAAAAATTAAAAAGTGCTGTTTCTTGGACATGGAACAACATCAGATTTACAGTGGTTTCTTACTTCTTACAAATGTTTTTTTGTTTTGATTTGTTTTTGTTTGTTTGTTTTTTTCTGATCACTGACACATGCACCATTTTCTTACAGCAGGGTCCAGGGGCTACTCAGACTAGCATTGTTCACAGCTGCTGCTGCCCCATTTCTCCTCTTGGAAACAGTCAGGATGCTCATCCCTAGTGACCCTTTCTTCCTGTACACTGCAGGTGAACATGATCCATGCTGCCAATCCTGTGGAACATGCCAGCCACGTGGCTGCCAAACCACAGTTTGTTCTCCTTAAGAAATGCATTTTGTTTACCTGTCATGCCACAACCTACTCAGTCCTCAATCATTTACAGGAAGAACTTAGGAGGCACTTAGGTGCAAACACTAAGCATCACACAGAGCTTAGGCAGATATCCCTGTCCCACCTGGCTGGGAGCATGGCAGCACTGTTCCCACTCCCCATCACACACAAGGAAATGATTGCCTGCCCACAGCCACAGGGACCAAGAAATTTGTGACCACACAAAGCTCTTCCTGGTGCTTTCTAGTCTCTGAGGGTCAGGTGGAGTGTGTCAACCTAGGATAGCCAATGACAGGTGGGAAGCCTCAATCTGGGTGACCTCCCTGCAGCCCTTGATAGTCATCCTGAATCCTGCTACCATGGTGATTGTTGTTTGCATCTACTTCATGGTCTTTATGATCATCCTGAGGGTGTTTCAAATCTGGGTTGCACATCAGTGAACCTCATGGGACCAGGACACAGGGAAGGAGAATGAGGTAGATGGCAATGACTCTGCCTTGACCATCACCATGAACTCCAAAAGGAGGTAGGAGCAGACAAGTCCCCAGGCTGCAGAGTACTGTAGGCCAGGCTCTTCCATGTCCATGTGCCTCCAACTTATAACCACACAACTTGGTGAGCTAGGATCCTCAAATCCAGGGGGGTAATCTGAGGCTCAGTGATGCCTTACTGAAGTTCATACAACCTAGTAAGTGTAAGTGCAGAGATGAGCTGGCTTCAGGCTGGTGCTCCTCCCACTCTATGCAGAGACAGTGCTCCAAGGAGGGAACTGAGCATCCCCATCCAGGAGCTCTCTGCATGCCTGGACTCCATGGACAGGCCACTTCCAGGGAGGCCTAGGCCCCTGTCCCTGGAGAGTCTCCCTCACTGGGGGACATCACCCTTCTGCTGCTGCTCCTGGAAGGTGGACACTTGGTGACTTGGCCATGAGCTGAACTCGCAGACCTACCAGTACTAGCACAGTGGTGAGGAGGAGGAGTAGAAAGAGGAAGAGCAGTGTGAGGCTGGAGAGGAGGAGGAGGAAGACATCATTATCGACCAGTGGGAGAGCTGTGAGGAGAAGGAGTATGGCCCTGTGGAGAGCCAGAACTGCAACCAGCATCAGCAGCAGAAGTGGGAAAGCTCCACACTCAGCTACTGAATGCAACCTGGACTCTTGCATCCCCACCTCAGAATGCTACCCATCTCCCAGCCAGCTGTCCTCCATGTAAAAAATCTCTTCAGCCAGCAGGTCTGAAAACCCCCATTGCTAATTATCCTCCCATGCCAAGTGTGTGGGACTGTAGGCTCACACCATATGCCCAGCCCTGCTGAATCACTTTTTCCCAAAAGCCAGGAGCTGACTCTTCCTCCCTGCCATGTCCTGCCAGCTCAGGGGCTGCAGCAGTCCAGGATCCTGCCATCCAGTGAGTTGC